CAAGAAATCTTATTTTCGGGAACTGCATTTTCAAGAGAAAACTATTTTTTCAGTATTTTTATTTCTTTTTGGAACTACAAAACATGGAAATTTATTATTGTTACTTACTAATTAATCTAATTATTTAAGATAGAAAATAGTGCTTCTCCTAAAGTAACTTCAGCTTGACTTGAGAATAAATAAGTAGAACTGGGAACACGAAGAACATGCTACGTGTACATAAAAATTGACACATTGATTTACACCCATATGAGTTAGCAGATTTTGGTATGTTGATCTTGTCGACGCACTTTCCAATCAATTGTCGAATTATTGACAGATAAGGGGCTGTCAATCAAGGTGTACACTTTGTGTGTACAAGTAGTTTAATCCAATTAAAAGATTTCTTTAATTAATCTAAACTTGTGGGTCGTTTTTCTTGGAGTGTTTTTCTTTTCTCTTACCTCTAATTAATATAAGTATGTGGATCATCACAGAAGATGTGTGGATCCATAATTATGAGCCTCGAACCAATTCAATCATTCATTCTGAACAAAACATATATTGATTGAATCTCAATTAATAATGGATCAAAATAATTTATTTTAGAAACTGGTAACAAATTAAAAAGTAACATAGATAATTATGTATTTATTCAAGAACTGGTAAAATGTACATAATAATACTAAAACATAGATAAAAACTGACACACAAGAACCGGTAAAATTTACATAATAATACTAAAACATAGACAAACAGCGACACACATAAATCCCATTAAAACTTGCTTAAACATAGTACTTTCAACGATCCCTTAATTGTTTGACGATAGTTCAATAAGCAGTTTGTGACCAATCTTGTAAGAGGCGTAAGCATCAATGCATGCATATTCAACTTGATTATTATTAAGCTCTCTTGCCTCCCAATTACTCATGCAAACATGCTTAGGCTTTTTCATGTTAAGCCCACAGATTTCCAAGGCAAGATCCTTTAATCCAGGACGACGAAACCTCAACGGCCAAATATTCTTCGCCACTGCTCGAATATCAGAGCTGCTGCTGCAATCCAGCCCATATTCATTCTTAAGCTTCAAGATATCATCAGCCACTTCAATTCCCACATAAGTAAATTTAGGGTCCAGAAGAAAGTTTTTCAGAGAATCCGGAATTTCATCCATGTAAAAGAGTTGAAGAATCAGACACTTATCATCTATGCAGAGTTGCAGAGTTGCAGATTTGTTACTCATTGATCCAACGGGGTGAGGCCTCCATTCGACGTCCAAACCAACAATAACCGTTGAGTTTCCATTGTGAATCGAATAGATTTCTTCAATCCATACACTTGTAATTGCTGCTTTGTCTGTGACTGTTGTTTCTATACTTTTTCCGTCGAAACTGACGTAGTATTTGGACAAACTGTGATTGAAGGTGATGCTGGGGGTACCACGAAATCTATTCATATTTTTCTTTTTTTATTTTTGGCCTCTAGTTTGTATGTTAGGGTTGGATGAAAATGGATGCAAATATGCATGAATATATATAGATGAAAGTTTTAAATTCTTTGGAGTCATGATTAAATGTCAATAATTGCAGTATTAACTATTAAAGGTGGAAATTCGTACTTTTTCACAATTCAAATCATCATAAAGACGAGTTGGATCTTTCATTTTCTTCTTTATTTCTTGGAATTATTGTTAGCTTCACTTGAGAAGACCAATATTGCTTTCTGTTGGAAAAATATGGCTAATTCAAATGATTCATACACATGAAACATGGAGAAAACTATATGTAGTTTGTCCAACATAGGAAGATTATAAACACATTGACCACCTTAAGTATGATTATACTTTGGAAATGTGTAATCATGTGTGGCATATATGTTCTTTTCAAGTTAGAGGGGGGGATGCAAATTACATACCGAAATGCACATCGGGGCTTGAACTTGTGTGCGGGCGCGACCTCCGCACACGAATGTTGAACCGAATGGACCAAAAATTGGTCCCTTTAGAGTGTCAACGTTTTGCTTTCTCCAATTGACCTTTGATGTTCTAAAACTATCGAAACTCCTAATTTATGCCTGTGCTAATTTAGAGATTAACAACCGGATTAAAATGCGATTAATGCTAATTTCCCATTACAACCTATATAACCAGTCTTTTTCCTCCATTACACGCACAAAATTCTCCTAGATTCCCAGAATACAAAACTTCAAAATTTCCAGTTTCTATTTTCTTGGTTTTCTATTTTCAGTATTTCCAGTTTATGTCAAAATTCTTGGTGCTAGTGTTGTGATATATATTTAGTTTGCTGAAATAGTTTCTGTTGTGCACATATCATGCTGGTTTATCCTTTGTATCCTGGGAAATAGACATTCAACGAAACCTCGAGTACTTACGATGATGGAGCGAATCTGTTTTTAAGGAAACTGTGTTTACACAGGCTTCAGTTTGAAAGTTTTTCCGTTTTGTAATTCTAAACAGTTTATATTTCGCTTCTAATTATCTGTTATGCTCTTGTCAGCATAAATAAAGTATTATTTCTGCAATTATATTTTGATAACACTTTCTTCTTAAGGTGATGTGTGATTAAGAACATGTAGACAAGAAGACTAGGATATAGTTCGAAGACCAAAAAGAAGAATATTGGNATAGTTCGAAGACCAAAAAGAAGAAATTTGGGTTATTTTTGTATTTTGTATTCGATCTACAACCACTATTATAACGTCACAAGAAGTGTTGATTGCAACTATGATTACCATAAATCTTGCACTCTTTTACAAGGGGCTTAGGTTAGTAAGAGTTCTTATAATGTTTGAATCTAGAATAGTCTAATTTGTTTATCGAGTTGTGATCACGCGCTTAATCTCTTATTTCTAGTTAGTAAAATAGTCTCCTAATTTTTATAACGAGGTGTCATGATCCTAAGATAGTGTGAAAACGGGACACACTACGCAAATATAAAAACAAAAAAGACAATGATATATTTCTTGTTTGGTACAAGATGATGCCGACATAGATATATTGAAAGGGAATAATAGTACTATAAAGAATAAATTTGAGAATAATGTTCCTTGGACTGGGGATAGGGTGGTGTAGCAGACAATGATTGTGTGTATTGACGTGTTCCTTTTGTCATTGAATCTGTCACCGTAGTAGGACTGGGGATAGGGTGGTGTAGCAGACAATGATTGTGTGTATTGACGTGTTCCTTTTGTCATTGAATCTG